CGGCTCAGCAGAAAGAAAGAAAAAAAAAAAAAAAGAAAAAAAGACAAAACACCATTAAAAGGCTTGGAAAATTTTATTCTTTACTGAACTTTAATAGTTTTTTGTTTGGTTTAAACACAATAAATATTTCAGTAATAGCATTTAACAGACTGGAATTCAAACCCACTGCAGTACCTAAACTCCCAGCGATATGACGCCAGAGAAGCGATCGGGGTCCCTGGGACCACGGCGGTGCCGGGACCGCTGCTCACGGCCAGGCTGCTTCGTCCGATCTCTGTTTAGGGGCAACCCTGTGCAGAGGGACCGGACTTGCTCAGCTCCCGTGGGGAGCCTGGCAGAGCACCCCGAGCCCCAGGGGAGCCAGGCCCCCACTGACGGCAGCTCCTCAGAAAGACTCAGTGGGGAAGGGACAGAACCAAACCACCACACCGGCACAAGCGCCAAACGCGTCCTTCCCTGCATCATTTCACAGCCCCCACGGCCCCAGGAACCAGGACAGCAGCCGGCAGCATCGGCTCTCCAGCCCCGCTGCCCAGGGGGTCGGTGGCAGAAGTCCAGTTAGTGCCTCCCAACTTGTTTCTAGCAGGACGAGGCAGCACCACCAACTCCTTCCCCACCCTGCCCAGGAAAACCGAACAGCCACACGGACACAGGCCTTCGCAGATGCTCTGAAGGGTTGCAGAGAAGCTCCCTGTCCTGCGCTAATACCAGGGGCCCAGTGGTAAGAGCCCAGAGAGCCAGGACTGTTTGCAAAACCACTCAGATGTAAGGGTTGAGTCTGAAATGCTCCGGTTCACCCCATGGAGCCCCTCTGCGGGTTGGGTTTGATGCTGCTGCCTTGGTTTGCCTTTAGGTGCAGGGTTACAGCTGGAGAAGAGAACGATTCAGCACTCAGTCAGAAGACCAGAGCCAAAACCAGCCTGGGACCCACCACCCTCCTCTTCTGGAGGGGCTGGCACCAGCACAACATGGACCGCTACCAAAACCAGCATCCACTTCAGCTGAAAGCTCGAGGGACAGAAGTAGGTCAGTCTGAAACACTGCCCGGGGGGGAGCAGGGAGGAAGATTTTGATTAATGAGGTCTCCAACCTGAAGCACAGCACCAGCTCCTACCAAACAGCCACCACAGATGCCACTGGCCGAGATGAACGGCACCTTGGAGGGTGAGCAGCGAATTTCACCGAGAACCTCCGCTCCTGGGGCAGTGACAGCCTGACCACGTACTCGGAGACCAGCCTAGAGACCTCTCAAGCCAGGTCTGACCACACCTGGATGGGCCAAAGGGTCTTCTACAAACTAACAGTGACCTTTTCCAGAGGCAAAGAAGCCAGCGTAGCACCCATCGTCACCATGTCCCACCAAGAGCAGCCTCCACGTCACCTTGGCCACTGCTTCGACATAGCACAGCAAGGTAGAACAGGCGGGCAAAAGCAGGATGAATGCAGCCCCGCGCCGGAGTTGCAGATGTGCGTTAGAAAAGCAAAGGGTAAACGAGCTTTTAGCTGACCCAGCTCCATCACCACCGCTGGCCAACGGCACCAGAGCAAGGCCGACACACCGCGCTGAACGATTTTGGGATGGGGGTGTGTAAGGGAACGCTGGTGCGCCGAAGGACTCCCACTTCTCAAGCGAGTGATGCACGCTAAAGCAAACGGGGACAACTGGAAACAAGGCTCCGCTTCAGGGAAGTTCCTGCAAGTGTCGGAAGGGATCAGAAACCCCACGCAGAGTTTTGCCATAAAGGTGACCAGAGCTCAGCTACAGCTTGTGTTTGCACAAAAATCAACTGTTCCCTTGGACCCGCATATGGAAAAAAAAGAAAAAGATCTGAGCTAGCTTCCAAAAAGCGCTATTTCTCTAGAGACTTTCCAGGTCCATCACAAGCAGGCACAGATGCTCTCAGAGGAGAAGAGTTTAGGAGCCTTGCTAGAACTGACCTGACTGAGATCAAAACAGCTCTCAGACTACAATCTGCAGGTACGCAATGCACCCGGGAGGTAACATCAGGCCAGCCCTATTTAAGGAGCTTACATACGTTTCCAGAGCCTTAGAAGCTCATGCTTACAACACGCTGCTCCCCTGGCTCTGGCAAACCCGCCTGTGTCAGGCGGCTGATGTTTATGAGAGGAGAGACTGCTGCCGAGCCCCCGCGGTGACCGACCGCAGAGGAGAGGAGTTAACTGCGGCACAGACACACCGGGGGAAGGAACAAGCAGCGCGTGGGTGCTTGTACTTGTAAAACGTTGTTTTTAGCGCACCAGCCAGTTTTGCCCAAGCCCCAGGAGGTCCCAAAACCTGCACTTCACCCTCAGCCCCGGCTCCGCTTGTGAATTCCTGCACTAGGTCCCTGGATCGGCGCGGAGGCGGGAGCTGTGATATGAACCACAAGACCAAGATGAAAAAGGCTGCAAGCCAGGCCGCCTCTCTGCCTCGGCTACACAAGTCCCGTGCCGACACATCGGCATGGCCCGGCCTCCCACAAAAACCTGCTTCAGAGAGAAGGCCGACCGGCCGCGGCGGGGTGAGGACCAGGGAGCGGCTGGCAGTGCTGGCCACCTCTTACCGCAGCACAAGGACCTGCCCGGAGCCCGAGGCCGAGAGACTGACGTCCCAGCGGGTCTTGAGGGACTGCACCTCTCCCTGAACAGGTTTTTTCCTGGTAATAGTCGTACTGAGATAAAAATGTGCAAAACAGATTTAGGAAAGCATAAGGCAGTCCTGTTATCAACTCAGCAGGTCCATCAGTAAGAAAATATGATTATCGTGACTATCCCTGGAAGAAGAGACAACACAAATCGGCTCTCAAACACCAGGCGGGAGGAGCTGAGGAGCGAGCGCAGGTCCTACCCAGCCTGCGCAGGACTCTCTCCCGTCCCAAGGAGCACATCCCGCCGCAAGGGCGGTCTAGCCAGCAAGGCAGGCAACCACCACCACAACACAATTGCCCTCAGATGCTGTTAGCGAGGAATACATTTATTCTTAAGACTTAAAACCATTATTATTAATAAATAGTTTGTTTCTCAGCATGCCACACCCCACCACGGCAAGACGGTTTGGTCTTTCTGTTTGTTTCCGTTCCCCTCCCAGAATCCGGGTGCAGGAATCACTTAATTTCTAACAGCCCAAACAGAACCACCACCACCACCCCCCCCTCGGCTTCGCAGCAGCACGAGTTGGGAACAGTCTCGCCTATGCACCGAGATCAGGTCTGCTCCCTCCTCGCTCTGCCACAAGCCTGGCGGCACTACGAGGCAAGGGAGCCTGTTTTCCAGCACTGATTTAAGGAGATATTTTTCTAGTTTCAAGGTGCAATAAATTAAGGCACCAAAAATCCAGGACTGTCCAAAGATAAAGCCTGTGCAGATAGGAAGTGGTTCCAGTTTTTAAGAGAGATCTTTCTCCTACAGCACGACGAGTACTTGCAGGATTTTAGAGAGGAAGCCCTGCTTCCACATGTTTGTAACTTCACAAAGGGGATTTTCAGGGTGTATTACGTGCTGCAGAAGCGCACCAGCTCACAGCTAGGTGAGACAACAGACAAACAGTGTATTACGGAGACAAAGCGACATCCTAAGATTTAAGATCAGACAGCTTCTCACAGCATTCTCACTGGCCCAGTAATGCTAGGGGGAAGAGACAGGACAAGGCTTGGGACCCCAGAGCTCAGCGGAAAGCCCGAGGGAACGGCTCAGTTATTCCCTCGTCCTGCAAACACACAACTAGAAAGGAAATCATCCCACCTCCACTTTTTGTCAGTGCTGCTAGCACAATTTTTGCTATCTGAACACATCCTATAGGTAAGTGTTGCATCCCATTTTAAGATTCCCTGTAATTCTTGTGCGAGCGTGACTTCAGTTTATCTCCCTTCATAATTTTATTTCATTAAATAGTGAGAGTCAAAAATTCAAGCGCAGCCCAATTCTTTTGTACACTTAGGTTTTTTTTTTCTGTACAACGTCAGTAAAATATATAGGAGTAAGCTACTTTATTAAATAAACTCTGAAAACCATTTGCCCCCTCTCCCAGACTAGCCACCCTTCCCAGACACGTCGTAGCCGTACAGACACACGAGCACACAGCCGTTCAGCCGAGCCCTCCCGCGACGTCAGCCCAGACGAACGCACCAGCTCGCTCCTCGCAGGGCGTACCGTCACCGAGCAACCCTTAGGGTCGCACCCCACACGCAGTGAACACGCGAGCTTGCCTCAGGATTTCAAGTCTCATAGTCTGCATGACAATGATTCAAATTTACAAAAGAAAAAGCATTAAATAGTAGTTACAGTTTGAAGGTTTCCTAAAGCAGGAGGAGTCTTCACCTGCAGAAGGAAAATGCTGTGACCAAGCTTCTACGAACCACGTTGCACAATAATCAGTGTATAAGCGACTTTGTTCCCATGGTAGATTACATATGCACAATCTGCTGTGCTTGTTCGCTTCCGGATGCAGCCTTTCCAGAGCCTGGGTTTAAGCTACACTCTTCATTCAAGCACAGGTCTTCATTAAATAAAGTGAACAGAAAAGAAAATCAGCATTCAGTCTTCACCACCCCACTCTAACTCAATTACAAAAACAAGTTTGAAAAAAAAAAAAATCAATGCAAACGTCTTTTACAGATGGACAGTAAACAAATATATCCCTGGATGAGACATGCAGCCGCTGGGGACAACGGTTTTGAAAATAAAGTGATATTTGGAAAGGACCCCACCACACACACGCCTGTGAGCTTTCTGAAAGTGCACACACAACCAACACAACACTTATTAAGGTGCTTCTCTAAGCGGTGGATTTGCTGCCGTTGATGGTCTGGTGGGAAGGGCGACGCGCAGACTGAGCCTGGCTGCGCTGCTACAAAAGGAGAGGCTCAGGCAGCATGCAATGACCCAGCAGAGCCGACCTGCAACAGCAAGTTCATACTGGTAGGAAGAGGGGGGAGTTTGGCTCTGTGTTAGACAGGCTGGTGTAAGCCACTTTCTGCTGCCGATCGGAGCCCAGACCCCACTCCCAGGCGGGGAATGTGCGTAGACAGGAATGTGGTCGAGATGTGGTCCCAGGTACCCACAGCTTGAGCAGGGGAGGCAGGAGCCGCCTTCCCACTTTTACAGGAAATTGAGCCCTGATTTTCTAAGCCCGCCCAAGTAGAATATTACTAGAAGTTTTGTGTGTTGTTCTTTTTTTCCCCTCTTAAAAAAAAGGTGCAAGTATTTGCCCAAATGGGTGAATGCAGGAAGGCAGGACAGAATGTGGGAGAACTGTCACCATCTGCTCCCTAAGTACCAGCCCAGGAGAAGGGCTGTCTAGCAGGATTAGGGACAGACAGGAACTCCCCTGACCACCAGGATGTTCCCCTGACCTTGTAGAAATCAGCTGTTACGTTGGTTTTGGTGACAGGTCAAGATGCTTTGCTCGGGTAAAGCCATTTGCATCCCCAACCGGCTTTACCTGAGCAAGAGCTGGAGTTTGAGGTTTCGCTGGGAACATTCAGCTGGTCTAATACACAGTAATAGTGACCTGAAAGGCTACCCTCCTCGTCCAGTTTCACCCAAAACCAAAAGCTTGCATTCGTCCAACAGCAGCGAGGGCTGCCCCGTACCAGCCCTGCCCTGGCTGCACCGGATACCGTGCATACTTTGCCCTGATGTCTGTCCAGAGGATAGGTTTAGGTCTGTGGTGATGGTTGAAGTATTTACAGGTATTTGCAGCAGTTATTTACAGTACTTCTGCAGACCGCAAGCCGATTTTCTCTTCCTCCACTCCTAGTCAATCTGGTGTGGGCTTCTTTAGCGAGAAGGGCCGTATATTGAAGTGCCTGCTCAGCTGGCTCACCTGGGGACAAGGCAGACAACAGGACCGGGTTAGCGAGGCTCGGAGGGACGAGGAGGAGAGCGGGCAGAGCGCCGGACCGGTTCCCTGTAGTGGCCGACAAAGCCCCGTCACCTTCCCGCGCCCACCTTCCCCACCCTACACGCTCCCCACGGGCGCAGCAGGTCTGGACCGCAATCTCTGTCTGGTGCTATGGGGCCAGCCGGGCTGCCCTGCCCAGGAGCCGAGCCCTGTCTCTGCCAGCCCGACGCCGGGGCCGGCCGGGTGCCTGGCCCCGCGAGGTGCAGCCTTGCTCCCTTCCCGCACCTTCCCAAGTAACAGCCCGGTCTATCCGGGAGCAGGCTCACCTCCATTCCTGCCCTCCGCAGGGGCAGGAGTCAGAAACGCCTGCCCTGAGCCCAGGCACGCAGGATTTTACCCTGCAGTACTGCTCCCTCTCTGCCCCTGCCAGCAATATTTTTATTATTTTGCTTAAATTAATTTGATAATCTCAGATACCTATGTGAAAAATTGCTCCCTGAATCCATTCGCAATTCAAACTAGGGGTCGGGTACTTTGCGTTGACCATAAAGACACACACAGGAGGGTTACAGAGAGGAGGGGAACCCAACACCAGGTTTTGGATAATCACGTGCCTTTTACAGCAGCCTTTCGAAGAAGGGTCCACTGCCTCTTTTGAGGACATGAGAAAACTACAGAGGACTGAGAGCTGCTCCAGGAAACAAGCTTTCAGGCACGGTTCAGAGAATCGCAGACAGGAGGGTAAAACAGATGGCGTGGCACCGGCATCTGGTGACTGCAAGGTAACAGTCATCGCAGAACCAAAATGAGCAGTGCTGAGCAGCACCAGAGGCTACGCTGGGCACAGTCAGGGCAGAGGGTTTATTCCCAATCGTTACTCCCAAATTCAGAGCAGTTTGGGATTACGTCCCAGCCACAGAGCCTTAAAAGGCTCTTCAGCTCAATAAAGGCTCTTTTATCCTGGAAGAGAAGACTGCACAGATGGGCCCTTGGAAAGCTGGAGGCGGGGGGAAACGAGGGGAACATAAACTTAGGGGAGCAGAGCACTGAGAAGCTCACTGCAGGGGAAGGGCAAGCCTGGACAGACAGGAGGATTACACCATCTGGTCAGTCCCCCATCTCCAGCTGTGACTCCAAGACCAAATTTATTTAAGCTTCTTAGCTACTCAAATCCTTCTTGCATAGAACCCTCATTACACTAATTGGAAAGACAAGACAACCTGGCTATTACTTCTTTGCTGTAATTACAGTTCAAACTCAACTCTGGAGGCTCCACATTAAGAGCTGGGGTTCCCAGGGGACAGAGCTTCCCAAGGAGGGTGTACGCACGTGGCAGCGGCCAGCTCCGCAGGGGACATGGGGTCCCTCGCCCTAGTTCCTCAGCAGCTTCCTGGGGCATTTCTAATAGGACTCTGTCTCCTCTGACTTTGTTTTCTCTCTTAATCAAAACTCAGGGAGTCAGGCAGAGCTGGCACAGAGCAAGGGGAGCAAATTGGTCCCTGGATCTCTGCACAGCCCTTGCAGCAGGGGAGAAGGTAGAGCAGCTGCAGCGTCCCCACGTTCCCTAGCAGGGACATCCCCCCTCCATCCTGGCTCTCCCAGTGACTCCCAGCGCAGGGCACGTCAGCAGGGTCACAGATCGAACTCATCAGCCAGAGCAACACCGACAGCAGTTTAACTTTTTGTACTAAGACTCCCAGATTAAGCACTCCTGCCCAACATGCAGACACAGCATCTGCTGCTCTGGGTATCTACTGGAGCCGCCCTTCCCACTGCCCAAGGGTGTGGGTCACCCTTGCTGGCTTACATCCAAAGCTGGTCTCTAAGCTGCAGCTGCAGCCAGGGTGAGTTGAACACGGCAGCAGAGATGCGAGTATTTGTTTCAAACTAATCTCCGGTACAACAGCCCCCCGTCACATTGTGCGAAGCTCGCTTCAAACCCACACGACAGCCCGCACAAGCCTCTCGCAAGGAAGGCAGCTCAAGTTTCATACGGTCACAGACAGCATGACACAGAGAGCCATTCCCACTGACTTTCCCATTTTTAAGCGGAGTGTTCTCCGCCCCAAACAGCAGCAGCACCCAAGCAAAGCCCGCAGCCAGAGCACGGCAGCCAAGCCCGAAGCCGACGTGCTGCGTTCACCTACCACGACCACTCCGTAGTGGATGTGCGCCAGGGTGAGGAAAGCAGTTAACAAGTAGAGGAGAAGCGTCTCGCTGTTCGGCGCGAACCCGGACACCACCACGAAGAGCACCGCCGCGATGGGGAGCAGCATCCAGTTCAGAGGCTGGCAGCGTGTGCTGCTCATCTGACAGACGATCAGTTGGCACTGCAGGAAGAGAAAGCTGTCAGAGCTTGCACCCGCTATCGACTCTGCAAGCCCAGAGCTGTCCACAGTGCAGAGAGGATGGTCACCATGTACACGTACCAATCGTCTGCGCTTACAACTACCATCATGCGGCTTCCCCGAGTTTCTCACTCGGGACCTTTCTTTCCATTAGAATTCCTGTGGGGGACACAGAGCAAAGCCTCATGGGGCTCAAAGGTAATAGGGAAACAGGCATCAAGGGCATCTTTAAAAGAAAAAGGAGTTCCCTTGAGCTGACCGAGCCTTACCAGCGTTACCTCCACGATCATCAGAAAATCCTGCCAAGCAGCAGCGTGAGCTGCTGGACCCAGGGCACGGACACACAGAGCCGCTCAGCCACATGTCTCAGGTGACGAGCACAGGTGCCTTTGCTAAGGTCTCAAGCAAGCACAGATGCAACATGCAGCTAAATCGGATTTTGGCAAAAGCTTTAGTCTCCCACATTTTAAATTTATCCCAAAAAAGGAAGCAGGAACTCCTTTCGTACTAGCAGTTTGCTATTCACAACACAGAGGATGCATGCACGTGTAAACACCCTCAATTTAACCAATTCTCTAGTTTCTCAAGAGTGAGAGCTGCAGCACAAAACTCGCAGGCCCCAGACCCTGTCTACTTTCCTGTTTGTTGTTTCAATCATAGCAAAATAGAAAAGCTGTTAAGTTAATCTTCGCATCTCCCTTCTCTCCTCACATTTGAGCTGGTCTTTTTCTTCCTGCCTCCCAAGCGTCCTGGCAGGCTTCACGCTCCCCAGGGGATAAATTGGAGCACAAAGCAAAAGCTGCTTACAGAAATGTTAGCGAAGGCTGTTCCAACCATGAAATAGAAGAGTCTAGGATGGACCTCCAGGATGTCCGTCGGGGACATGAAGATCCACGTGGTGCAGAGCAGGAACAGCAACACTGGGGATACCAGTGGCAGCATGATTTCATACACAGAGTGGTGCTTCAAGGTGTTATTTTTATAGGCCCTGAAACACAAGCAAAGAAATGAAAATACACAGAACCACAGCTGAGAAACACCTGGTCCCTGCCTTCAGGAGAGGGCTGCAAAATCTCATTGGCCATTCCGCTACTCAAAACTGCTGATACCAATCATAACCACAGTCAGGCGAGGAAGATGCCCCCTTTCATTGTCCACTCAAAAAACTCCTGAATTACAGGAGCACCTGGTTGTCTGGCTCTCTGGGTTGTGACCAGCGGGACAAGCCTACAAAAGCTGGGGGCTCTTCTCCAAGACCCCGCTGAGCAGGCTGCCAGCCCACTCCTCCCAGTGCACTCCGCAAACTGGGACCTTCTGGTGTGTCAGAGCCGCTTTGCCACACTGAAAACAGTCGTCTGAAAACTACCAAGGAAACCAAGTTCTAAAAGGCTTCGGGGGCTCTTGCAAAGGTGCTAATGCAGGGAGGGAGACTTGAGGACAGAGAAACTTACTTGCAGAAGTTATAGAGGCTCATCGGCAGCGTCACAGTGAGCGCACAAGCTGGAAGAGAAAGAGCCGCATTACTGCCCCACGATAGAAGGAGACCATCACGTGCAGCCCACGAACGGGCAGGTGGTTGTGCTCTGGTTTAAGTTGCTTGCAACAAAAATAGCTCAGAGGTGCACCAAGAATAGCTCGGCACGTTTAAAAGTAGGTGCTCATAATTCTGGTCCAAGAGAGCTGTAATTACAAGTTAAGGTCTGCTATAAATTAAAGACATTTCCATTTTAAAAAGGTGCATTAATGAGCCCAGTATTATGCTTTAAACAGTTACAAAGTTTAATTATAATACTGTCTTTAATGAGACATGAGGCGAGTTCAAACTCCACAAGTGACATGGCTGCGCACAACAGTTTTCAATCTTCATAATAAAGCTAATTTTCTATTTCTCCCACTGTGAGCAAGCATTTTCAGTTCCCATTGTGCAAAAAAGTTCTTGTCATTTAACTTGACAAATGATACAAAGAGTCTAAATAACTTTGAAAAAATTTAGACCTCAATAGGGAACATCACCCGCTACACTCAAACCCGGGAGTCTATCACAACTCCTTCCATGTTTATATAGCACTAGGTATTTTAACAGAGCTGTAAATATTCCTGCTTTTAATAACCCAGCTCCTCTCCAAGTGCACAAATCCAGCCAATGTAGGCATCGTGCTCTATTTTTCACATAGGAAAAGTGCATTTATTATTCATATGTTAAGCTGTACGGCTGCCAAAGGAAAGCTCAGCATATCCACCTGATTAAGTGCATTAGATTTAACGTTAACAATTCAAGACATACTTATTTGAAATTAAGTAGTTACAATTAACCTCTAAAGAAAGGGACACAGACTAAGAAAAACTCAACTAAGCAAGAACTTCTGAATAAGCCGAATTTCATTAAGCAAAGACAGCCCTCCCCCGCTAAGCTTCACCTGCATTAGTCTCCCCTTTGCAGTGGCTTGTTCTGACTGACCACTGGAGAGAATGGCTGGGCTTTTATTTAATTTTACTTTATTTAATTTTTAGATGGGTGGATGGAGGGCAGGATCTCCAAGCAGCAGAGTGCTTTTCCCCACCTCTGTGGCTGTAACCTCCCTCCTGCAGCAGCCCCAGGCTCCTGCACAGCGTTTGGGCTCTGGGTCCTGCCCCGGCCGTGCTGCGGGGCGAGACGGAGCCCCAAGCAGCAAACCCAGCACGCTCCGCAAAGAGCCTGAGCACCGGGGGGGGCCCCCACTGGCCGCCGGCTCCCAGCACCCACCCATGCACTGGGCTGTGTTTTATCCCCTAAAAACCCCACGGCTCTCGCTAAAAACAAACTGTGCTTCCCCCGGGCAACGCGATGCCCGCAGCCCCAGCGCTTGGGCAACACAGCTATTTGGAGGAGATGCTTTTTCACACGCTCGCAGGTCCCAGGCACGAGGGAGTCTCCTGTTTAGCGTCCAGGAGCCGGTGCTCGGCTCCAGCTGCTTCCCGGCGCCCTGGCACACCCGGCCCCAAGCAGCAGCCACAACCCTCAGCCACTCTCGTCTGCCCACTACGCCGCTCCAGGCCAGGAACCATTTTGTGTCTGTCCGCACAAACCCTCAGCCCCAGGTAGGCAGAACCGGGGCCGATCCCCCGAGCAGCAGCATGCACCTATACCCTCAGGACTGGCACAAAAATCTATCTGAGGCATGAGCGCGGCGCTCCGCTTCCTTTCTCTTTTGGTCAACACAGACCCGGGCAGGCTGGAGTTAACTTCTCCGAAGTAACTATGCAGAAGACAACAATACTTTGAAATCCTGGGAAAGGGCAGGCTGCAAGAACACCCTCAATTAGTCACTTCAATAACAGCCTACAGGAGTTTTCATTACAGCAAACAGAACAGCGTTATCATATAATTAAGACATTGGGTTTCGTTAAAAAGGTGGAGTTTAAAAGACAGGCTTCAACATGGAGTTTCTTACCAATAATCATTGCAGTGAATAGGTCTCTATATAAGAAATTAAACAGGAAAGGTGCATACCAGGCCTCAACTCCCACAATGGCTGTCACTATGTAGACAATTGAAATGGTCTGAAAGAAAGCACAGGACAAGCAGGCATGAGCAACCAGACAAACAAGTCTGGCAGCACCCGACCCGCCAGCGCAACGTGTGTGCCAGGCAGCTTCAGGGAAAGGCAGCCTTGAGAAGTACGCTCTAAGCTACATCATGTTCAGTTCTCCCCACCGGCAGGAAGGAGAAAAATACAAAAAAAAAAAATCCACAAACATCCCGCGTTACGAGACCAGGTCTAGTAAGCGTAGTGGCTGAGCTGCTGAGAAGGGTACGACCAGGAGCTGCTCCTCACAGCGGGAGCAAAGATGCCCTCGCGCAGCTTGAACTCACGAGATGCTCGAAGCACGAGAGAGAGGTTTTATACTACAACTTGCAGTGACCCTGGAGGGTTTGTTCAGGGACCCTTTCTTATCCGTCTGCTGAAGCAATTACAGGGAAAAAGCTAACAAGGGGTATTTCAGTTTTAATAGTAACCCTGAAGCTGAGGGAAGCACGCTGCAGGGCAGCTTAGCCCTCCACCCCTGCCTTTCTGCAACAGGCAGAGATGCGAAAGCATTAGGGTTATGCAATGCTTTTGGAGAAAGTGGTCAGAGTATAGTCAGAGGGGACCAGCTACGCTCTCCTTTTACTAGCAGAGATGATTACTGCAATTAATGCAGCTGCATTAATTGCACTCTACTTCCAACTTGTTGCATTTCCCACCCAGCATCTGATAAGCCAGAAGATAAAGGAGTACTGTGCGCTGCGCGGTGCTGTGCGACTGCACCCTGGCTAGGAAGGACGGCTGCCAGCAGTAAAGGAGAATTGTATCATCCAGAGCTTGCTCCCAGTTCTGATGGGCTCTTCAGAAAGAGCTTCCTGCAGAGGAGTCCTTAATGAGAGATGGACACGCCAACATACCAAAGGGTCCATCACCGTCAGTCTCGACATCCACTGCCCAGTTACCACGTACAGAGGGGCACCTCCCCAGGAACCTTTGCTCCAGGCACAGTGATTAACATGCCAATTAGTTACTCCGCTACATTTTGGCACGCATCCTGCTAGTGCCAAAAGGCACCCCAAACTTCTAGCCTTGAACATACCCACGTTGGTTTAATGCAGGAAACTAATTAGAGCAACGATTTAGGTGGCCAAAACATGCATCTTAGGACAGCAGAAACCAGCCAGAGGAAACACAAGGCAATATCCATTCTTCAAGCCTCGTTTTTTGTGGATAGTCCATCTACAAAAGCTACTCAGAACAAAATAAAAACCACACCAACCTCCTTGGAATTAATGGTTTTGAGCAATCAAACTCTAGTGCCACGTGACCCCAGCTCACTAAAGCAATTATAGCTCAAAGTCATGCAAGCAGTCTTGGAAAGCTCTCCGCCTCCACAATGCTTGGAGACAGGCTGAAGACACCCACTTCCAGAGAGCGTTGCAGTGACCGATTTACAAGGCTTTGGACACGTAGCAGAGCTGTATGCATCCCTCGCACACCTCAGTGGGCTCTACTGCACCCCAGGCACGCTAGCAAGTTTATCATAGAATCACTGAGGTTGGAAAAGACCTCTAAGATCATTGAGTCCAACCATCGACCCAACACCACCATGCCCACTAAACCATGTCCCTAAGCGCCTCATCTACACGTCTTTTAAATACCTCCAGGGATGGGGACTCCACCACTTCCCTGGGCAGCCTGTTCCAATGTTTCACCACTCTTTCAGTAAAGACATTTTTCCTCACGTCCAACCTAAACCTCCCCTGGCGCAACTTGAGGCCATTTCCTCTCGTCCTATCGCTTGTTCCTTGGGAGAAGAGACCGACCCCCACCTCGCTACAACCTCCTTTCAGGTGGTTGTAGAGAGCGATGAGGTCTCCCCTCAGCCTCCTCTTCTCCAGGCTAAACAGTCCCAGTTCCCTCAGCCGCTCCTCAGAAGACTTGTTCTCCAACAAGCTTTATTGAGCTCCTGCTGAAGCCGAGCAGCGGCTGCGGCGTGTACTTACCACCTGGCTGATGTCATATCCCCAGGGCAGGAAGAGGATCCCTGTGTTATACTTCTCCCAGTGGGAGAGGATGAATGAAAACAAGACCACCCATAAGAGGAGGTAGAGAACGAAGACACTGACACCCGTGGAGCCCCGTCCAAAGGTGGAGTAGACTGTCACGACAAAGTACACGCACGCCCAGCTGTCCAGGCCGTGATCAAAGAGCTCTCCCAGGGGCGTGCTGGAGTTAGTCCGGCGAGCCTGTTTCCCATCAACGCCATCTGGGAAGAGAACAAGGAGAAATGGGGAGTTTTGCTGGACACCCCCTCACAAAGCAATGGGCCAGTTTGCAGCTGACGAAGTGCGCGCGGCCAGTGAACAGCAGCTTTCACTGCCTCCATCCTCTAACGGGGAGTGCACTTCCCACCCCCCTGCTCTACTCGAGACTGAAAAAATACAATAAAGTCTGACGAGATTACATTTATTTAAAGCAGACTGAAGACATAATTTCACAATTCGTCCCAAAGTCAGTTCCAGCATTCTCCTTTCACATCAGCTGCTCTGGGACAACTTCCTTCTAGCCACTTTGCAAAGCAGCTCCCAGAAGCTGCTCTAGCAGCCCGAGCAGCAATTGGATTAGTGCATGGCAGAAGCCCAGAATCAAAAATTTCTCAATGGGCTCGGAGATAAGACGACATGCAGCCGCAGCATGAACAGACGACAGACACGAACCCCCACAATCAACTAGATAAAGTCTTACCTAACGTATAGGCAATGAAGTTGAGGAGACCCACAATGACCCACACTCCGTTCGGAACGTGCTGGTGATCAGGAGCTGCAGAGATCAGAAAGACCCAAGTCAGTATGTACTTTCAATGGGTTTATTTTGGCACAAGAGGCACAGCAACAAGGACCAGCAGCTGACCAAGACAAAGCACCTACACTACTCAAACAGTGAAACTGAGATGTTAGCTTGCCAGGACGTGATGGCAGAGCTGTTCCACAACAGCATGTGAAACCGGGTCACCGAGAACTTTGCTTTCCAGGACATAGTTGTTCTCTGTCCCCAGCTCCCCAGGGTCATGGGATCTAAGAACTGGTGATGGCAGCTAGCAACTGTAGCCCAAATGCATGACACGGAAGTGTGTGCAGATCAGACTCTCCTCAATCACTTGCTCACAGAGCATCAAGCAGAGCCTCTTTGAGATGTGGCAACACCCTGCCCCTGCAGAAACACGTCAGGATTCCCCTCCCAGTCTCCAGTCTGCATCCTGCCAATTGAAACAAGAGTTCCTCCTTAATAGCATCTCCACCTCCTCCAACGTTGTTTTGGCAGATAGCCAGCTTAGCTGTCTGCAACTCAGGGAGCCCAAAGGTGCGTTTGAAAAAAAGCAGGAAGAGGCACGGCTTCTTGGCAGCAGCCTCGCAGGAGGGCACACGGAGGTCTCCTAGGGGGAACAATGATTCCGTGAAATGCCACCTCCCGTTTCCTTAGAGCAGCAGATTGGTGCCTTTCCAGCAGCAAATGGAGGGCATCACGTCTACAAAACCATCCAACGAGGAGGAAAGGCACAAGCTTCTGGAGGCCTCACCAGCAAAATCAAAAGTTGTCTTTCCAATCAGGACATGCATAACATGTATGTACAAAAGGGTCCCAAAGCATGAGCTTCACCATCCCTTTGGCAGAGCCCAAGTTTCTGGACACCTGATGTCCTGGGGATTCTCACACTGAGCTTCCTTCCCTGAGCTACTACTGTCAGCTTTTCTTCCTATGGCTCACGGACCAAAACACAATCCAAATCTTAGCTAACAGCCACTGATGCCACCCGAGCTTTTGAAAGCCCGGCATATTGAAAACAGTACTTGCCTACCTACCAACAAAGACAATCCCAAGAAACCAGCATTTTTCCCCACTTAACTGTGTTTTGATGATTGGCCCAGTTTTAGAAGAACTAGATGGACTCTTCCGAGCAACCTAAACCAAACCTGGCAGGGCAAAGGGAGGGAAAAACATAGAGAGGAAGCTATCGATAAGTGACTGAGAGTAATCTTTTCCCTGGGACACCCCCATAAGGAAGGGGACACAACTGAACCTTCAGATTCATGAACAGATGAACATGGGTAGGACCCTGGGAACTACCAACCTGTCAGCCTCACCTCTGTGCCTGGGAACATCATGGAACAGATCCTCCTGGAAGCTCTGCTAAGGCACAGGGAGGACAGGGAGGTGATTTGAGACAGCCAGCATGGCTTCACCAAGGGCAAGTCCTGCCTGACCAACCTAGTGGCCTTCTATGATGGAGCGACTGCATCAGTGGACACGGGAAGGGCCACAGATGTCGTCTGTCTGGATGACTGTAAGGCCTTTGACACGGTCCCCCACAACATCCTTCTCTCTAAACTGGAGAGATACGGATTTGATGGGTGGACTGTTTGGTGGATGAGGAATTGGCTGCATGGTCGCATCCAGAGGGTAGTGGTCAACAGCTCAATGGCCAGATGGAGATCAGTGACAAGTGGTTTCCCTCAGGGGTCCATACTGGGACCAGTACTGTTTAACATCTTCATCAATGACATAGACAGTGGGATCGAGTGCACCCTCAGCAAGTTTGCAGATGACACCAAGCTGAGTGGTGCGGTCAACACGC